GTACAGTGGAGAAAGCACTGGCCCTGGAGTCTGGAAGACCTGAGTTCAAGTCTGACCTTTGACACTTACTACTATGTGGCCTAGGGCAAGGCATTTAACCTCCATCCATCTCAATTGTCTCGTCTGAAAAATGAGGAAAATAATAGCACCTACCTCCCAGGGTTGACATTCTTCGTCCTTCATTTTCTTTTTTTTTTATTATTCGTCCTTCATTTTCAAAGAGGACCAGTGACATCATGGGGTGATGTCTCCACTTGCTCATGAATTGGATGTAAGTGAGGCACAGCTGCATAAAATCATCAGCCTCACTCTGTCTCCCAGAGTCATCAAAGTCTAGCGGCAAGACAAATGTCAAGACAAATGGTGATGGCCTGGGTTGCAGTGGATGACCTTGGTTTCTTAGATGCCTGCCCAATCTCTAAGCACTCCACAGCACCTGCTTCAGCTGCTTTCATGGCCATTGGAACAAATTGTTCTTATCCACCCATTCTGCTAGGGGAAGTCTTCACAGAATTGAGGTAGACATCCCCCTAACTCACTGATGGGTTTGAAGCCTGTCAGTTACCCTCAACCTGGTCTAGCCAGTCTGCCCAGATAGTTTTACAGGGGTAGGGTCACTTGCATGCTACAGCTTCTTGGAGCCACAGGTGAGAGTTGGGTGGCAGGTGGACACCAAAGATGGATAAGCAACCTTGAAAAGGGCTTGGCAAGCCCTCACGTCAGAGGGGCTAGTCCTCCCTAAATACTCCATACGCTCTCAAGGTTATTGTGAAGATAAAATGATATAATATTTGCAAGGCATTTTGTGGACCGGAAAAGCACTAAATAAATGCTAGTTCTTATGATTGTGTCTCTCACAAGTCTAGGATGCAGTGAAGTTGTGATGATTAATGAATATTGACTAAAAGCATGTGGGGGCCAGTTGATTAGTCACCATTTTCAAGACTTTTTAAGGCTGTGGTTCACGTGCCAAATTGTTAGGATACAAGGTAGATAATAAGGAGGAGACTAAGAGTGAGGAGATAGCCTTCCCTATCCTCCAATCACCTGTCCATTCATGCAAATTATATGCAGACACACATATACATACAGTATACATATACATACACTTATACATATATACACACATGAAGAACTAGCATGATTATCATGGCTGTCTGGATGTCATGAATGTCTGCATCAGGGAAGAACAACTGCTAAATTTACTCATTGTTTTTCAGTTAACAGTTCTATTTCCAAAGCTTATTGTCCAGGTAACATTTTCTGCTCTCACAACCTTTAGCACCACTTTTACCTTTTGTCAAAGATTGACAAGCTGAGAATTTAGCTTGGGAAGGGACTTTTTGAGGTTATCTGGTCCAACTCCCCCCCATTTGATAGATGAGGAAACAGACCCAGAGAGGTTAGGTGACCTGTCCTAGATAACACAAATAAAGTAACAGAATGGGTATTTGAACCAAAGTAGTAGATTCTTTTTTCCTAAATCCAATGAACTTCCATTACGAAACACAAATATGCCTGAACAACAGTGAGGAAATCTAAGATGTTGTAGAGACTACTTTCCTCCCTCCCCCCACCCCTCAGGACTTGTTAGCCACCCAGAAAAGCATTTTGACACACTGGTTGGGAAATAGAGCATTTAGACTCATGATAAGGTGATCATTTCTATTCTGTAAGTTAATCAATTGATCAACTAGCATTTATTTAGCACCTACTATGTGCCAGGCACAGTGCTAAGTGCAGGGGATACAAAAAGAGGCAAAAGACAGTTCTTTCACTCAAGGAGCTTACAATCTAATTGGGGGGTGAGGGGGAGGACATGATATGCAAAACAAAAACAAAGTTCCAGCCCTTAAAGAACTTACCATTGGAGGATGAGGGAGTGCGAAAATAACACATACAAATACAGGTATATGCAAAATGGATATAAAGTGATGGGAGGTCAGTGGTAGCTGGGGGATCAAGAATGGTCTTATGTAGAAGGTGGCACTTGAGCTGAGCCTTGAAAGATACTAGGGATTTTGAGACATGGCAGTGAGAAGGGGGTGCTTTCCAGGCATGAGAGACAACCAGTGCAAAGGCATGGAAATGGGAGATAAAGTACTGTATTTGAGGAATGGCAAGAAGGCTACTTTGGCTGTACTACAGTGTAGAGGGCAGTAATGTGCAATAAGACCAGAAAAGGAGATTGTAAAGAACTTTAAATGTTTATATTTGAGCTTAGAAGTAATAGGGAAAGGGTGGAAATTATTGAGCAGAGGACTGATATGGTCACATTTGAGTTTTAGAAAAATTTGGCAACTGTGTGTAGAATGGTTTGGAAGTGGATAGACAAGATAAAGAAATCAATTAGAAGCATACTGCAATGGCCCAAGTGAGAGGTATGAGGGCCTGAACTAAGGTGGTTATTGTGGGAATAGAGAATGGGGGACAGATAAAAGAAATAGTATGGAAGTAGAAATTAGAAGATTTAAGTGGAAAATGAAAGGTAAGAGAAAAAGAAATCAAAGGTGATACTGAGATTGCAAATCTGTGTGACTGGAAGGGTAATAATGTCCTTGACAGAAATAGGAAGAAAGGTGAGTCTAGGGAGAAAGATGAATTCTGTTTTGTATGATTTGAGTTTGAGATGTCTATGAACATTGGGTTTGAAATGTCTAGTAGGCAGTTGTTGATGTGGGATTGGAACTCAATAGAGAGACTGGGGCTAGAAATATAGACATGCAAGACATCAACGTAAAGATATTAATCAAATCCCTGGTAGTTGATGAGGTTATGTAGAGACAGAAGAGAAGGGCTCCAAAACAGAGCTTTGAGGTACACTAAAGTCGGGGGTTGGGATATGGATGATGAACTAGCAAAGGAAACTAAGAATGAGCAATTAGACAGGAGGAGAACCAAGAAAGAACAGTTATGAAGCCCAGAGGAAGAAAATATCCAGGAAAAGAAAAAGTGGTCACCAGTGTCTTATGCTACAGAAAGGCCAAGAAGGATGTGGATTAAGAAAAAGCAATCAGATTTGGCAATTGAGAGATCTTTGGTGACTTTGGAAAGGGAAATTTAAGTTGAGCGATGAATGATGAGCAATCCTAGCTGTAGAGGGTTTAGAAAACAGTGAGAAAAAAAGGAAGTGGAGGTAATGAGTACAAACAGGCATTTCAAGGAAGTTGGACAAGAAAGGAGAAGGGGGAAGAAATATAGAATGATAGCTTGTAGAAATAGTAAATTCTGGTGATGGTTTTTAAGGACAGAGAGGCAGGTGTTTTTAAGAAGAGGTAAAGAACCAGGGAAGAAGGTAAGATTGAAAATTGGAAAGAAAGGGGTAATAGAGGCAATCTGCTCAAGAAGATGGAAAAGGATGGTTCAAGGGTACATGTGGAAGTGTTGGGTTTGTCAAGGAGAAGGACAACTTCATCAAATATTGGAGTCAAGGAGAGAATAGACACTTGTGCCAAGGGGTTGTGAGATGAAGAGAAGAAAAGAGAGAGCTCATGACAGAAGGCTTCTATTGGCTCAGTAGAATGAGCCACAATACTTAGCTGTGAGAACTGAAGGGTTCCTTAGAGATCATCTAGTCCAACTTCGTTTTACAGATGAGGAAATTGAGGCCCAGAGGGTTGTAATTTACCTAGGATCACACACAGATTCAAAACCCAGTCCTCCGGTGAATTTTCCAAGTTTTCACTCCTGTTTCTCTAAGGTCACGGCTTCCCTTCTCACTGGAGACAGTTATTTTGCATATACCTGCCACCATTCACCAAGGGGTCCGGGGGAATCTAATTCAATTCCATCCCCACTTTGGAGAAACAAATTCCCCCTGCAGATGGGTAACCCTCCTACACAAAGGACAGCTGGGCATTAGTACCGACAGCCTGGAAGCATCTTTGTTTTCCTTTTTCCTTTTAAAATCCAGTCAGGACCTTGTGGCAGTGCACACCTGTAATCCTTCCTGTTGGAGGAGGCCGAGGCTAGCAGATTGCTTGAGCTGCAGTAAGACTAAAGCAGATCGAATGTCCCCACTAACTGCGGCACCAGTGACGGGGAAGGGCAGCGGGGTGAGAGCAGGCAGCCTAAGGAGCGGCAAACTGGTTCACGTCTGAAATGGAGGTGGTCCAATATCAGGGGTGGGATCACCATGAGTGGCACTTCCATCTTGGGCGAGATAGGGAGACCCAGTTTCAACCAATCAATTAATCGGCAAATAAATAAATAAATCTCGCTAAGGACCTCTGGGGAGGAAATTCTTCACCAACCCTACTTGGCAAGGATCTAGCTAAGCCCGGGAGGAGAAAACTACAGATGCTCTAAACCCCCTAGAGCATTCCACCAGCATGCCTTTACATCACGGAGACAAACAGGTTCTAGCAAGAACCAGAAATTGAATTCGGCTCCCTCTCTCCCCTATGGGAAAAAGAAAAAATGTAGGGACTTTTTCTTCATTAAAAACCCTCGTAATTCTAGGAACATATAATTCGGGGTGCAAAATCACAACCGCCACCTGAAAAGTGAAATTGTCAACTCCTCAACCTTTTGGTCCACTCAGACCAAAAGGACGCAGGTCCAAACCAATTTGGAGGATTTTTCCCCTCATTTGACGGATTCCCCGCCCCCAGAACCGACTGATCCAGCCAGCTGTTCCATCAAATCGCTCCAGACTAAGGAAAGCGTTCATTTTTTCATCTCCCCTTCCTCACCCTCCTGCGCAGAGCCTGTCCAGGGCAACTCATTCATGTCCCTGCGGCCGCAAGTGTCTCCTTCCCATCCCCTGTTGGCTCTCCGAGTCACCTCTGGTAGCAGTTTTCCACAAGGACCAACCCCAAATTATGAGAGAGAGAGAGAGAGAGAGAGAGAGAGAGAGAGAGAGAGAGAGAGAGAGAGAGAGAGAGAGAGAGCTTACTGACACGGATGCACTGGAGGAAGCTAACTTGAGAGCCCCGACAGTGGGGAGGGTTTTATTACACGATTTCTTTGCAAATGGAAAAATCAATTGCGAACCCAGATACCTTTGCAACCCACACCCAAATTTCCACCCTACGTCCCCATACCAAACAAAACGAACACCCCCACCTCCAAGGAAGCAACACAGTTGCTGGGTCCCTCTTCTCTACTGCCACCCACATCCGACCTTCTTTTCCCTCCTTTTCTTTCTCTTTTCAAATAACGATTGTTACAAACGATCCCCCTAGCCGCTAAGGCAGATAGGACTTTACAAGGCAACATTCCCAACGGACCGCTTGGCACTGAACAAGTCACTTAGCACCCACAGCGGGAAGCGAGCGCACCTGGGCTCTGGGTTTGCCCACACGACCACCTGAAGGATGTGCTCTTCCACCCCTGCAAGGAGGCTCAGGTCCCCTCAACCAAGACGCTCCCACCGCCCGGTTGCTGCTGCTCCTCCACCCTCAAAAAGCAATCTTCCCGGACTTCATAGGTGCCCGAGCCAGCCCGAGTGGCGCCCTCGGGCGGGGAGGGAAGGGCTCGCGCCAGGGTCCCCGGGGCGCCCTCAGTAAAGCCCCATGATGGCCGCGCCCACGTCCTTGGAGGGTCGCCTCTCCTGCACTAGAAAGTTGATCATGCTTTCTGACTTGATGAGCAGGTTGCAGCCCAGGAAGAAGATGCCGAAGATCACGGTGAGGGAGAGCACACAGAGGACTGCGATCTGCGCCACTCGCGACACCCACAGGCTCCGCTCGTCAGGGGCCAGACCCGCCGGGATCCCGTCGCTCGCCACCAGCGGGGGGGTTCCGGGACAGCAGCCCAGCCACGTGTCCAGCCCTTGGCTCTGGTTGCCGTAGGCGCCGCTTCCACCTCCGCTGCCTCCCGGTTCCAGGGCGCTCTGATTCAAGAAGGTCCAGTTCATCTGGCTCCCTAGCGCGCCCCGCCAACCGATGGGGCTCGGCTGCACGCAGTCCCTGCCTCCCGCAGACTGTCTCTTCGATGTCCCTTCTCCCATCGGCCGCCCCACGGGGCCCAGGTCTGGGCTCTGTAGGGACCCGCTGAGCCGCCAAGAGCTCGGGGAGACTTGAAGGCTGTCGGGGTGGGGGCGGGGAGGCTGGCCGGGATACTGAGGCGGAGAACAGCTCTGGGGGTGGGTGAAGAGAAAAAGAAATGGGAGGAGAACTGGCTCACATTTCCTTCTACCCAGGACGGAGCCGCGGGGGCGGCCCCAGAGGATGCGAGCAACAGGCTGGAACGTTCAGTGCCTCCCGCTGCGGGGACGAGCTAGAATTGGAGCCGGAGAAATAGTCACCCAGACTGCAGCTCCCCTCCCCGCCCCTCTCCTCACAGAGCAGTCCGTCGTCCACCTCCCCACCACTACCCAACACACACACACACGCCCAACCTAGCAACAGCTATTTCCCCCTCCCCCCGCTGGCGGCCTGCTGGGTCTCTAGGGGACGTCGGCTTGGCATCTGAGAATCACGAAAACAGTCTTAGAACTAGGAAGGACCTGGAGAGATCGCCTGGCTCTGCCCTCTGACTTCAGGCAGGAGAAAGTCTAAAGCGTCCTACACATACACGGTAATCTGTTCCTTCCTGGAAGATCTCTAGGGCCTGAGCCTTTCTCTATCCTATTCTATTCTAGTTCTTGATCCATCCTTAACAGTTGAGAAGGTCTTACTTAAGTCTAACCAAAATCTCTCCTTCCTAATATCTAGTTCATCTTCAGTCCTTTGCTGACAGAGACACTGCTTCATGTTCACCTTCATTCAGACACTCATAGAACTGGATAAAAATTAATTCCAGGCTAAAACATCTGAATCCTTTCCAACCAAAACCCATGAATCCTTTCTTTCTGCTTAAAAACATACCCATATTTTTGCATCCTTTCACTTGACCCCTATGATATCCTCAAGCTATCATCTCCTACATCTTTCCTCCTTTTATTAGCCAGACTCCTAATAAAAGCTGTCTATATTTCTTGCCCCAGTTTCTCATCACCTCATTCATTTCTCAACTTATTGCTGCCTTGCATCTATTCACTCAACTGAAATGGTTGCCTACCAATTATCTCTTAATTGTCAAATCTCATGGCCTTTTCTCCATCTTCACCCTTCTTGACCTTTCTTATATATTGACACCATTTACTACCCTCTCCTCTCTGGTACTCTTTACACTCTGGCTTTCCATGATATTGCTCTATCCTGAATCTCCTCCTTACAAGTCTGGCCACTCCTATGCATCAACACTCATGTCCCACCCCCTTGGAGATGCTGTACTGTTCCTTAGCCCTCTTCTCTCTACTGTCTATCGCCTCTCTTTGTTGAATAATAAGTAATCCATGCAGTTCTAGGACATAGTTGCTTAATATTCCACAGTTCCCAGCAAGGCTTGATACGTGTGATTAATTCATGATAGAGCAAAGTGGATTGTTCTTCTAAACCTCATATTGCTCTATCATAACTAATGATGCAAACTGATGATGTGAACTAATGATGTGAATTAATAATGCACATCAACCTCATACATCAACCTCAACTCCCCAGACAAAGTGTTCTGTCATTAATGAAACATCTGGGTGATTTTTCCAGGGATTATTTGATGCTGCCGCTCTGTTGCCTTTATAAAGAAAAAACTCATGGTAGCATTCCTTGCAGTCTCTTGTAGGCTACCCATATGCATATATTCTGGAAATCTGTCTCTTCTTGAACAACAATAAACTTTATTCAGTTATTTTGGACTTGAATTTGTCAAGAGTTTCCTCTGTGGGGATTGGGGATTGCTTTCCCAACAGTCTCTCTCATTCTCTCTCTCTCTCTCTCTCTCTCTCTCTCTCTCTCTCTCTCTCTCTCTCTCTCTCTCTCTCTCTTTCTCTCTCTCTCTCTCTCAGCAGCTCCCATGGGCTAAAATATCATCTATGAAGATGGCTACTAGATCTGTGGGCACCTAGATGGCAAAGTGGATAGAGTGCTGGGCCTAGAATCAGGAAGACTCATCTTTCTGAGTTCAAATTTGGCTCCAGACACTTACTAGCTGTGTGAGCCTGGGCATGTCATTTCACCCTGTTTGCCTCAGTTTCCTCATCTGTAAAATGAACTGAAGAAGGAAATGGCAAACCACTTCAGTATCTCTGCCAAGAAAATTCCAACTGGAGTCACAAAGAGTCAGGCATAAGCGAAATGACTGAACAACAAAAGTGTTTAATAAATGCATTTTTATTCATTCATTCACTTAAATGGCTTTAGGACTGTTACTGGACATCCTTAACCTTGGAAATGCCAGAAGTCTTGCGGAGGCAGCAGTGGAAGTGAAGGGATGGGAAAGGAGGAGAGGGGAGGAATGGAGGGAAGAGGAGAGGGAAGGAGAGAAAGGAAGGGAAATGGAGGGGAGGAGAGGGGAAGAGAAGGGAAAGGAGGAGAAAGAAAGGGAGGGGAGGGGAAAGAAGGGGAGTGGAGAAGAGGGGAAAGAAAGGGAGGGAATTAATGAAAAAAAAATGCAGAGAGAAGAGCAAAAGGAAATCCAGAATGGGGCACAGACAAGCTGGACAGTATTGAGTTTTGATACTATCGTGTTAAATATTGTATATATACATATATACACATATACATATATACATACATACACATATATATACATATCCATTTTAAAATAATAAGCTATACATAAAGGATTCCAAGTTTCATATGCATTTTCTGTTATGTTCTTTGTATATGGAAATGTTTGTTTATTGCTGTTTGTTCAATTCATAATTAAAAAAAGAAACTTTATGAAAAATAAACAAAAAAGTACATATTCAGTTGTAAAAGGTTAAGGAACAAAGAACTGACTTCCAGGATCGGGCTTCTCAGTGCCCATACTTCTGCCACACCATCGCTCACTTCTCCAGTGAGTGATGCCCTGTCATACCCCTCCTCCTTCTCACTAGGAAAAACTTAAAAGTTAACCACATCTGTCTGAAATATGATGACGCACACATACATCTTCTGCCCCAAGTAAAAGAAGAGGTATGCTTCACAATAGGACAGGTATGGTTTTTGTAGTCTACTGCTTCTTAGAGATGGCTATTTCCCTAGAGAAAAATGTTGTTGACACCAGGGAGCTATTTAGCCCCAACTAATTTACAGGAAGCTGAAAGTTAAGTTGATCTTGTTCAGTTGAGCATAAACACCCATCCACAAAAAACTGAGTTCTGCAAACTGTGTCCACCCTATGTGGAACTCAGATCATCTCTATTCTACTGGTAGCAAATCTTTCAGCCAGTCCTAAAGCATATCACTTCACACATTCCTCAGACTCCATTACATACACACACACACACACACACACACACACACACACACACCACTAAAATACTTCAAACTCAACTCCTTTGGGCAAAGATCTGGTTTCCAGAAGGCATGTCAAGTGCTTACCTGGGGAAAGTAACACATTCTGACTGAGTGACCCTGGTCAAGGCAATTACATCTTTTTTTAAGTCTGGACAATTATGTTATGTACATTGCAATCACTCTTCTAATGTAAATCAGCATGTTCTCTTCAGCTAATAGCCTAAGAGAATTATCAAGAACACTGAGAAGTTAATTGACTTGCCCAGGGTCATTCAGTCAGTATGCTTCAGAGGCAAGACATGAGCCCAGGTCACCTTGACTCCAAGGCCAGCTTTTATCAATAATACTGCATTGCCTATCAGGTAAGACCCCTGCTTCTGATGCAGATAACTCCTGTTCTGTCCCCTCAGCTCAGTAGCTCAAATTCCAAGGAACAAACTTTGGTTCTCAATGTCAAATCTAATGTTTTAGGCTCTTCTCTAAGACAGAATCTTCCCTTAAAGGATTCTCCTTATTTTCCAGTCCCAGGAGGCTTTGACCTGCACCTTGGAAGTCCCTCAGAAGGTCCCAAAAACACAAGGATAAGGGAAGATCTGAGGCTTTGGGTTCTTGACCCCAGCCCAAGCAGGTTCCACATTAGTTGCACAACAGAATATGAAGTCAATGAGAACCAGGGGACAGAGAAGAGAAAGAGCTGACCGAGAATTTAGAATGTTAGAGATCAGAGATCATCGAGTCCTGCCCATTTGTAAATACATTTCCCCAACATTATCCTGCAAAGAATTTATAGATACAGGGACTTTTAAGTGACTTACCGAGGCTCATACAACCAGCACCTATTAGAGGCAACACTTGAATCCAAATTTTCTGGGTTTCAAGGCTCTCCATCTATCCACTATATATATCTACATGCTGCCTCTCAAATTTATAGAGGAGAAATATCTTTGGAATGCCTAAAATGTAAGGCCTTTCAGGTTAGGTTTCTTTCTTTAGCATTTAGAATCCAGGATCTCCCTAAACACAGCACTTGGTCCAAGATTCTGCCCACAGAGAGAATTCAGTAAGTGTTGGGCACAAATAGGATTGGCTCAACACTGTTCCACCCCCGGGTTCCCTTTCTAAGATACAAGGAGAGGGAATCACATGAAGCAAAAATCCGATTTTCAAGTGACTATGGACACAGATTATTTTTCTGTAATTAGAATCACTTAATCCACATCTATGAACCTTTCAATCACTGTTGCAGTCCCTTTCTCTAATTGGTTGTTTTCCTCCCGGAATCTCCATTTTAATTTAAGTGCCCAGGTCTGTCAAATCTTCATTCATATCTGGCTCCAGACTTTCTCCATCATGCTCTGTGGGCACCTTCTCCTTTCCTCCTCCCCCTCTCAGTTTTCCTTTTTTTTTTTCTGTCAAATGCTGCTCTATTAGAATATAAATTCCTTGAGGTTAAGGATTGTCTTTTTTCCTACTTGTGCTTTTATTCCCACAGCTTTGCATATAGTAAACTCTTAAATAATATTTGTAGACTTGACTGTCTAGATCTGTAACCCACAGCTTCTCTGGAAAAAACCTATCAAATACACAAATT